TCAGCCGAGTATCCCCCCACCCCCACCCCCTCGTAGCCCTGCCGACCCAGCCCCCGCAGGCCACCCAGGTCGGGCGCGCTCACCCACACAGGCATCCCGCCGCTCCTCGTAGCCGGCGCTGCACACGCACTTGCCGATGGGCACCAGCCACTCGCCCTCGGCGCTGCAGTACATCTTGGGGGTGTCCCGCTCCTCCGAGTGCCGCACGCATTGGCCCCGCACCTCCACTAGTGAGGACGAGTCGGCTCCTGTCACCGCCTCTGAGAAGGCGGCCAAGTTGCGCACCATGGCGGGGCACTTCTTGTAGTAGATGCGGAGAGAGAGAATGGCGAGGCAGGCGCCGATGTCCTGGAAGGCCAGGTAGAAGCCACGCTTGCTGAGGGGCCCCACGCCCCGCACCTCGGTGTTGAGCTTGAGCCGCCGCACGCCCAGGTCTGCGCCCGTGAAGCTCTCGTCGGCTGCGATGGTGTCAATCTTGAGGAACTGGCTTTCCTGCGTGCTGGCGCCCAGGTCACGGTCCGACTCCAGGTAGTGGAGGTTGAAGGTCTCCTTGCAGGTGCCCAGCACGCCGGGCATGCTGTTGCAGTCGCGCAGGGTGAACTTGATCTCCGCGTAGACGCGCCGGGCACCGTCGCGCGGCACCCAGCTGGTGCGCAGCCAGTTGTTCTGGTTGGGGCTCATGACGTTGCACACCTGGTACGTGTGGATGGGCCGGAAGGACTCGTCCACCTCGTTGATGGAGTCCCACTGGAGACAGAGAACACAGCCCGCCAAATGAGAGTGGGCCTCGCCTGCCTTCGCCAGCCACCTGCCACGAGCCATGGGAACCGGGCCAGGGAGTCCTGGGGAATGAAAGCGCTGCCTGGCCAGTGGACTGTCCCAGCTGCAGATGGCAGGTGCCTGCAGGTGTGATCTCAGAGGGAAGTGTTAGCTACTGACTTTTGAAGAGGAGGAAGTAGGGGCGCAGACGCGGTCACATGGCTAGCGAGAGATGGATTTAGGAATGGAACTCAGGCCAGAGGCTCTGACCTTGTTTCTACAGGGCTATTCCCATCATTCCCAGAGTGGGGTGGGGGGCTCTCTTGCGGACGTCATCAAGTCCAGTTTCCATGTGGCTGCCCGTAGGATGCTTCTAACACATCGACCAGGCCACGTCTCACCCCATCCAAGTTCTTCACAAGCCCCATCTCCACTGGTGCTTGCTGAGTGACTGCCTGACCGATGGACTCCCTCTGCCCTGCTGTTCTGGCTGTTCCCCTGCCCCCACCTCAGGCTGGGGGCTCATGGGCTGGCCTGGGTGCCATTCAGAGGAGGGTCAGGATGCAGGAAAGGTGAACAGGATAACTTCTGCACTGATTGCTGGCCAGGCATTAATGATTCAGAAATAAACAAGACATTTTCAACAGAGTGAAAAGGCAACCCACGAAATGGGACAAAATACCTGTGAATTGCATACCTGACAAGGAATTAATATCCAGAAGGCATAAATAAAGAACTCCTACAACTCAATGACAGAAGAGAAACAGTACAGTGTATAATGGGCAAAGGACTCTCTCTGTCTCTCTCTGGCAAGTGCATGTGCCCCATAGCAAAATAAAAATTAAATAAAATAAAATGGGTGAAGAATATGAATAGACATTTCTCCAAAGAAGATACACAGGTGGCCATATGACCCAGGAAAGGGTGTTCTCATCACTAACTATTAGGGAAATGCAAATGGCAACTGCAGTGAAATACCATCTTATGCCCATGAAGATGGCTATGATTTCTGCTTTAAAGTACAAGAAACTGCAGGTGTTGACAAGGCTGTGAAGGAATGAGGACCCTGGGGCACTGCTGGTGGGAATATACAATGGTAGTGCCACTGGAACACAGAGTGGTTCCTCAAAAAGTTAAAATAGAACTATCAGTGATCCAGCAATGTACCACTTCCAGGGACACAGCCCAAAGAATTGAACAAAGGGTGTTGAAGAGATATTTGTATACCCATGTTGGTAGCAGTATTATTCACAACGGTTGAAACAAGGGCCTTATCCAGACCCGTTGCCAGATGAATGGATAAAACATGTGGTATGCACATATAAGGGAACATTATTCAGCCTTGAAAAAGGGGATTCTGACACATGCTACAGCATGGACGAACCCTGAGGACATTATGCTGAGTGAAATAAGCCAGAAACAAAAGGACAAACGCTGAATGATTCCACTTACATGAGTGACCTACACAAAGCACATGCACAGAGACATTTGCAGAGACAGGCTGAAGTAGAATGACGGTTGCCAGGGGCTGGGGGGAGGGGAATGAGGAGCTAGTTTAATGGGTGCAGACTTTCAGTTTTGCAGATGAAAGGAGACCTGGAGATGGATGAATGTGAACGCAGTTAGTGCCACTGAGCCGTAAGCTTGAAAATGGTTAAAATAGTATATTTTCTTAGGTATTTTAAATAAATATTGAAAAAGAAAGAAAGATATGCCTCAAAACAAAGTGTGACAGGCCACCCCAAGCCCTGGAGCCACATGCAGATCAAGCCCCATTGCCAGCCACCATGCCACAGCACACACACGCCCCAGGACGGGGGTCTGAGGGTCTGGGCTCCCCGCCCCAGACTGCTCAGGTGTGGCCTCTGCAGGTCAACCTGCTAGCCCGGCCCTGGGAGGAAGCTGGAGCCCCTTGCAGGGATGAGGAGGTCTGCAGAAGACGGGGAGGGAGGAGCTGCGCGTTCTAACCGCAGCACGCTGGCTGGAGGGTTGAGGGCTCTGAGGAGGAGCTGGAGTGTGGGCAGGTGGAGGTGCCGTGCTCTAGGCCCCTGTCCTGGCTCCACCACAGGCACAGCACCTGGATCTCCACTGGACCTGTCCTTGACCTAGGAGGCTGTCAGAAAAAGTCATGACATTTTTTCTGTGTTTCTATGCAAAAATGCATCATGACTTTTCTGATGATGCCATAGAAAGCCGGTTGCTTAAAGGAGGGGGTTGAAGACCACTCCCCGTGAGGCCCTGAGGATCATGGAGTCCAAGCCTATTCCAGAAACACTAGAGTGGGGGAGATCTCCCTGCCTGGTGCAAGCCCCTCCATCTGACCTCGTCTCGGCCAGCTGTCTTGTTTGAGCCCTCGGTGACCACTTCTGTGAAACGGGGCTCAGATGGGCCCCACACGGGTGAGGCTGGAGAGGACGCAGTGAGAAAATGCCTGCGCGTGCTTAGCTTGGGCCTGGGGCTGGCACGGGAAGGCACCTGGCAAAGGGACTAATATGCTGCTGAACAGGCAGCCTCTTCCCAGCCTACCCTGCCTGCCTCGGGAGGTCACGAGGGAAGAGGTCCTTTCTCCTGAGGAGACCCACAGAGTGCAGGACCCACTGCAAAGAGTCTAAGCTTCCTGTTGCCCCCGTCCCACCCAAGAAGAACCCCTGCCCCACACGCACTCTGCAGCCAGAGCCTCTGGGCAGCCTGCATCACATCTGGGGTTAAAGTCATTGTCACAATTAATGGAGCACCAGAGAGCCAGCCAGCTGCTCTCTGTCTGTTTCCTGCCAGGGACCCGGATAAATTAATCAGCTCAATCTGAGTCCGCTCCAGCTGCCCCACTGGTGCCAACAGCCCGCCTAGCCCTGCCAGACCCGGGAGCTGCTGCAGATGCCTCAGGCGACTTGGATGCCCGGAGGCCTGGTGCAAGGGCAGCATCAGCCCTGTTCTCCACCCGGGCACCCACCCATGCCGAGCACCACGCCCATCCCAGCTGCCTCTCGAGATCTGGGAACGGATCCTGCCACATGACTCCCCAACTCTGTCCTCTGCCCGGAGCGGAATGCCACGAGCCAGCAGTGCGGCCCTGGGCAGACCCCAGCCCCATCTGACCCTTGAGTTTTGTCTCTTTAAAACAGGGTGGTTGGGGCCAGTTTTGGGGGGCGGGGGCAGCAGGAAGGAGACACTCTGCTGTGCTGGGCCTGGGGAAGGTCCTGTGTGCGTGTCCCGAGGGCCACTGGTGTGCTGGGTGCTGTGATGTGGGCTGGCCAAGGCTGCAGACTCTGGTGGGAAGACCCCGTGGGAGGCAGCTCATGGGCTCTCTCTCACGGAAGAAATAAATAAATTTAAAATTCTATTAATTAAAAAAATGGGGGATTATTCTGGGGGGCCAGCTACATGGTGTGGTGGTTAAGGCTGGATCCCACGTGGCCGAGCGGACAATTGGAGTCGTGGACACCGGGTGCCTGTGGCTACATGTCCAGAGTCTCAGGAGAATGGAGGAGAGGCGGTTGCAGCCTGGCTATCTCCCCAGGGATAATTTCTCACTCTCCTTCCCCCACTCCTGTGAGTGCATGCACCCTATAGCAACAACTAAGGGGAAAAAAATAAAAAATGTAAATTAATTTATTTTAATTTGCATACGCTTGCATGCCCAAAATTCCAGGAGGAGAATGGAGGAATAGGGATTGCGGCGTGGCCATTCCCCCGCAGCGTGACCTCTCACTTTCCCTCTCCCTGTCACATGTCACATCCGGAAAAACATTTTTTTTTCAAATTTTAGTTAAAATTTAAAAATAGAGGGAGGTAGCTCCTGCCTGCTCCTGCCATCCACTCCAGGCGGTGCTGAGGACCAGCCGAGACAACGGAAAGAGCGTGCCCTCTCACCGAAGGCAGTGGCCGCTGAGGAGGCCCCGGGAGCACAGGGCGGGATGCGGCCTGGCTGAAAGTGGGGGGTCTGGGCCCAGGCCTTCCTCCACCTTAGGAGAGTTGCTTAGCCCCTCCCAGCTCCCACGTTGTCTCTGGCATATGCTCTTCATGCGTCAGCCCACTGATGACAACTGCGTGGAGCAGGCTGCTTGACTGCCATGTTACCGGTGAGGGCTCGAGGCGAGCTCCGTGACCTGACAGCAGGGCAGTGCTGCAGACGCTGGCGACAGCCCTGAAGACCCTGTCCCCAGGCTGCGGAACAGGCTCCAGGATCAGAGAGGCACACGGTGTCAAGGCCCACTTCCAAATGTCCGCCTCCCTGCTGGACAGGAGAGCCACCTGGAAAGCTTATCAGACAAGATTCCCAGGAGACTCTGCCTCTCCCGCTCCTGGATCACAGTCCCACCTGCTAGCCTGGCGGGGGTCAGGGCCTAGTTCGGAAAGCAGGCCTCTCATTGCATGTTCTCTCCTCTCTGTGCAGCCCCAGTCTCTAGGCCCCATAAACATGAGAAGCACGGGGCCAGCAAGTGGCATGGTGGCTAAGGTGCTGGACTCCCACAGGGCCGAGTCCCTTGGGTCCCAGACCCGGCAGCTTGAAAATCATGCTGGGCATATGTGCGTGTGTGCATGCCCAAAATCCTGAGAGGAGAATGGAGGAGAAGGGGTTGCTATGTGGCCATTCCCACTGGTGAGATGATCTCAGTATCCCTCTCTCTGTCTCTCTCCAGGGTGAGCACATGCGCCTTACAGCAAAAACCTAAAAAAAAAAAAAAAGAAAGAAAGAAAGAAAAGATGGGAGGTGGTCCCTGGCTCCATGGACAATGCAGTGCTGCCTTGGCCCTCTCAGTGAGGACACCAACGACGCCTTACCACTGCATCATGGGCAGTGTCAGGGACTCAGTGTGGGCTCTGGGCCCAGGGAGGCTAGAGTTCGAGTCCCAGCTGAGCATCAGGTGGGACCTGTCAGGTGGGCAAGTACTCCTCATCGCCCTCGCCTCAGGTTCCGCATCTGTGAAAGGGGACAGCTCTCTCCACCTCGCGGGGTTGGTTGGGGCATTAAGAGACAGGTCTGTGAGCTGTTATGCGCTATGTGAACGTAAGTGGTTATTGTTTGTTCTAACTCCCGGCCAGTGCGAGAGAGCTCTACGCCCTGAGTGCCCTGCAAACAGAGACCCTCACATGACCCGTGTTGTCCAAAGCACAAAGCCAGCCATGTTCCTCACCTGGTGACTCCTTGGTCCCCTAAGACACAAATCGTGTTCTCTGAGCAGAACGGGGACTCCCCAGAGCCAACCTGGGGTCAGGTGTGCCCATCCCGAGCTGCTGGGACTCAGGCCATCCACTCGGGCCATGGCCAGGCAGGGAGCGAGGGACAGGCTCCTGAAACCTGCACCCACCTCCTCACAGGCCTGCTCCTGCCGGCGGCTGAGCCAGCCGGCTTCAACCAGTTCCTCCACAGC